AACAACAACAGAGGAAGTGGTAGCCTGTGGTCTTCTTACCTTGCTTTTCCTGCTGAAGAGTCCCTGCTCTATTTGTGAACTTTGGCTAGGCTTATCATCACCAACGTTCTGGGGTCAGTGCACCTGAAATATAAACTCTTACTGATGGGAGATGAGGAGAGGACTAACTAAGCCCACTGACCTTTCATTCTCATTAATTAGCAGTTTAATCTCCTGTTATCTCTAAATTGGAGAGATGAGAAATGCTGGCAGCTTGTCTTTCTTTATGAGATGTTGTGTCTCTTCATTGGACATTGAGAATGAGAGGAGGGAGTGAGGTCAGGCCTCTAGCCAGATTGACATTGTCCTTAAAAATAGTAGACTTTCTTCACTAATTATCTCTTCTTCTTAAAAGATAAGTCTTCCATCTTTTGCTAGTTAAGCTTGCTTTACTCAAAGTGCAGTTGTACGGCTGGTTTGGAAGTTCCACTCATTCCTTCATTGATTTTTAATTTTAGCTCAGTGTTTCATTGTCATTTCAGAATTTCCTATTACTGACCTTTAGTTTGACCTCTGAAGGTCAGAATCACACATCAAGCTGTAAGACCAGATAGTTAATGGTTCGAATGAACCATTGCATTTCATCACTGTACCTAATCCAGTTAATTAGAAATAGGACACAAAATGGAATGTCTGTCAAGGTAGAGCAGATTCCAGAGTGACTCAAATTTTTTATAATCCTGTATTTCCCCTTTCTTTTAACAACTTGTGATGTCTTAATAGCCAAAGCCCACGTGTTGTTGAAGGGATTCTAACTCCTAGTGACCCCATGTCTGTCAGGATAGACCTGTGCCCCGGAGGGTTTCCAGAGACTTGATTTTTACAAGTGTCTCACTGGCCCTTTCTTCTGAGACATCTGTGTGGGTTGGAACTTTCAATCTATGTTGTCAACCATGTGCATTAACTGTATACCGTCCAGGGATGACCCTGTCTTAATCGTAATGAGCACCTACCATTTCCCATGCAGTAATACCGCATTCCGAGGAAAGAGCTCTAGTGGCATACCGTGTTCGATGTTGGACTGTTAACTTGAACGTCAGAGGTTCAAGTCCACCAGTTACTCTTTTAAGAAAAAGATGGATAGTCTCCTTCCAAAAAAGCTCTACCGTCTCAGAAGCCTGAGGGAGGTTCTCCGTCAGCTTGAATCAACTTGAGGGCAGCGGTTTGGCTTGGTGCTCTCTCATAGAAATCTCCTCTAAGGAGTGGATGGTGTCTATTGAGAGCACCTGCTGGTTGACAGCTGCTTCAGTTTGTGTATGTTCTAAGGAAGGTCCAGGCATTTAATTTTTTTTTAGAGTCCTAAAGTATATGTCCAGCACCTCGTGTTTTAGACGTTTATTATTTTTGTTGCTCATGTTGTTTTGTTTATAGCTCTTGGTGTCATTTTCCTTGATACCTATAAAGTAACCACTTTGAGTTCTGAATGATCACTAAATTCCTCTTCGTTTCAGAGTTGTTGTTTGTAATCTGTATCCATTTGTGAAGACTGTGGCTTCTCCAGACGTAACCATCGAGGCAGCTGTTGAGCAAATTGATATTGGTAAGTTGTTGTTAGGCCGCCAGCTTGATTCTGACTCGCTGTGATCGTATAGAATGGCCCCCGGAGGATTTTCTTGTCTGTATTCGTTAAGGAGGTAGATTGACACATTTTTATCTTGTTCAAACTACCAAAGGCTACTAGGTTACCAGCCATGTGCCTAAGCATTTGTGCCACCTGGCCTAAATTTATTCATAAATTGAAAACATTTTTTAGTAGACTGGCAGAATAGAAGACGACTGAAATTTAAAGTTAGACTTTATTTTACTAGTCAGTATTGAGAATCTCAAAAATCATACTTGCTCCAGGTCATGTTGAGGGACTCTTCATTCATCAGTATTTTCCTGGCTTTTCTTTGTGTGTCTGTGAAGATGTATCACTTGTTTTTAACTCTTCTTTAGAGATATAGTCGAGGTATGTGCACTTATTTCATGTGGAAAAAGCTAATAGGTGGATAAGAAAATGCAAATCTTGATTCTTCAAAGGTGGAGTGACCTTGCTCCGAGCAGCAGCCAAGAACCACTCCCGCGTGTCAGTCGTGTGCGACCCGGAAGACTATGCGGTGGTGTCTGCGGAGATGCAGGGCTCCGACAGTAAAGACACCTCCTTGGAGACCCGACGCCAGCTAGCCCTGAAGGTGCGGATGTGCTTTATTACATTATCTGTCAGATGGCAGCCAATCTAGTGCAGTGTTTGCCAAACTAAACAATTCCCACTTCTCGCTAGATTGTATCACTTCCCAGCTTTGCTGAAATCTCCTCTCTTTTGATTAAAAAAAAAAGAAAAAGAAGATAACAAATGTTAGAGAGGATTCTGTTAAAAAAGATGGGAAGAAAATTGAAAAGCTATTCAGTGTTACGTGGTGTCTTTTGCGGGGGGTTTTGGGAGGGGTGCACTTTGCTAGGAAGCATCTAAAATTGTCTTATCTCCTCCACTTTGGGTAAGGCTGCCAGTGTTTCTTAAAAACCCTGCACTTTTCACAGGCATTCACTCACACAGCACAGTATGATGAAGCAATTTCCGATTACTTCAGGAGACAGTACAGTAAAGGAATATCTCAGATGCCCTTGAGATATGGGATGAACCCTCATCAAACACCTGCCCAGCTGTATACATTGAAGCCCAAGCTTCCCATCACAGGTAACACCATTCACAGTGTCTGAGTGTGTGTAACACTATCTTCTGTCTGATGTGCTTTTCATTTCAAAGATAAATTACATAGTGCTTCATTGTAACCATCGAAGTATGAGATGCAGTTCTCAACATATGTTCAAGGACTAATGTTTGCACCCACATTTGTACTTCTGATACATATTATTTTTTTAAAACAGGTATCACCTACTTCTAGTTTATTTATTTCCCATTTAGTTTCTGAAACACAAAAGATCCCCTGTACTTTCTGTTTCCTGCTTTCCATTTTCAGAAGCATTTTCATTGTTGTCTTGTATTGTGTTTTGTTTGGTTGTATTTTTTCCTGGTATTTTGTTTATTCAAGACTTTCCTTATAAAATTGAGGAGTATTTTTTCTGTCTTTAAGGAATAATGAGAAATCTGAATTGCTTTTGATGGTATTGACCCTTCACAGTGTTAAATCTTCTACCCGTGAGTGTGGTAAAACTCAAAAAACCTTACTGTTGTCCAACTAGAGCCTACTCGGGCTGACCCTCCAGTGGGTTTTCAGAGACTAACTCACGTGGAAGAGATTGCCCATCTTTCTCCAGTGGAGCAGCTGATGTATCCAAATCACCTGTCTTTAGGCTGGGAGCACAGCTTCTGTTTATGTAGAACATTTAGTGGTTTTCTTTAAGCCTTTTGTGTTTCTGGTTCAGTATATTCTTAAATACTTCATATTTTGGGTGGCTAGCATAAATGTTACTGCTTTCTTGATTTTCTCTTCAGAGTTCTTTGTTAGTGTAGAAGAATCCTGGTGAATTTCAGATCTTGATCTTCTATGCTGCCACTTGGCAGAATCCTCCTTATACTTTCAGCTTTCTTTTTGAGTCTCAAAAGGTACTTGATATAATATCAATCCTATATTTACAGATTTATTATGTGTGTATGATCGTAAAATCTGCAGATCCTTTCTTTCTTACTGTGTTTCAAGATAGTATATAAGATCCTATACTTAACAATCCCATTCATGTATGTGATCATGTCGTCTGCAGATAGAGGTAATTTTACTTCTGCCTTTTATCTCCCTTGAAATATTGCTTTAGCTGGGACTCAATATTATATTGAATAGGAGTGGTGATAAAGGACATCCTTTTCTGATTCCCAAGGGGAGATATTTTGCTTTTATTTTACTGGTTTTTTGGCCTGAGGCCAGTGATTGTTGTTTTGTAAGGTACTGTGTTACTCACTTACGTATCTCAAGCACCCAGAGCTGTACCTAGCAATGTTGTTGTTGTTTTTTAGGTGTCACCAAGTCAAGAAGAACTCATGGTGACCCTGTGAACCACAGATCTGAACCCTGTCCTGTCCTGTGCCATCCTCACAGAGACTATCTCTGTGCCCTCGCAATGTAGGGTGCAATAAATGTTGGGCAGTTATACTTTCAAAGTACTGTCAATGATGGTACAGAAAGGAAATCAAAATAGAAGTGTTTTGTCTTTTTCATTGCTAGTACATGATCTTTCTGTGTGAACATTATACAAATACTTCTTCACAGGAAGCAGTGGCTGCTGGAAGAATCTTCCCAGGGTTAAGAAATAAGCTTAGAGGGGGAAAAAAATCAGAGGTTGCATTCTTCTTTATTGTCGAGTTACTTTTGGATTGGCTGGATTTGGCCTGCCAGTTGTCCTTCTGTGTTAGGAAATGTTCATATATCGACCTTACTATTCCCATGATGAGGTGTTTGTATATTTATTTGCGTGTAGTGCTGAATGGAGCCCCTGGCTTTGTAAACCTCTGTGATGCTTTGAATGCCTGGCAGCTGGTATCAGAACTCAAAGAAGCTCTCAGCATCCCAGCTGCTGCCTCTTTCAAACACGTCAGTCCAGCAGGTAAGCCACTGTGCTCTTGAACTTTTAAAAATGCTTTCCTTTTTTCCTTTTTTTTAGACATTCTGTAAAGTCTGAAACCATCTTTGTCAAGTCTGGTGGTAACAGTATCAATGTAGTAGTAAGTAGTAAAAATCTAAGAAAATTATAACCTCAATACACTCATGTATGTGAGTGTGTATCTACTGAAATAGTGTGACATTGGGAGATCCGACGATCGGGTAGTAGTTTTAACAGTGGAAACATGAACATTGAGGAGATGGAAATGGGAGATGGCTTAATGCAGAATGACCAAAGCCAGTGTTTTTCCTTGGGATTAGAAATGAGAATATGTGAAGATGTTGTTTTCCTAGAACATTTGTAACTTTTTATAGCTGTTATATTGATACCTTTCTTTTGTTATTCATACAAACTTTATAGTTTAGTTCTGTATAGTCCCATATCTATTGACAGTCTGACACATAATTTGTTCTCTTTGGTTTATTCTAAATACCATGAGTGGTGTGTGATGTCAAGCAGAACAGAGAGAGTGTGTGTGTTATTGAGAAACAAGCTAACGTCGTCTGCACGGACAGGTGCTGTTGGCCTTTAGACAGCAGCTCTGTATTTGCAGACCCACAAAGTCGTGATCTCTCTGACTCACCCTCCTTTATGACTGGGTTGTGGTGCTTAATTGTCTACCACACAGATTTTATTGTTAATTCGCACAGGCATTAGAAGTAATGCTGCATATACTAGATGTTAAGAAGAATACTGATTTGAGAGTTGGCAAGTGGTAGCTTATATTCATTCTTGTTTTCTCTTCCCAGGTGCTGCTGTTGGCATCCCACTCAGTGAGGATGAGGCAAAAGTCTGCATGGTCCACGATCTCCACCAGACCCTTACCCCCATCGCCACCGCATATGCTCGAGCAAGAGGTCGGCCCACCCATAAGATCTTGCAGCTGTTAAGAGAGAAAGCGCAGTATTTCAAATAGAATTAGTAATGTTTTTTTATTTCATCGTAAGATTTCCTATTAACAATTTTGTTTTTAATAACACTTGAGAATTATCAAATGAGTGCTTCAAAATAAATTTGTATATAAAAGTGTGTGCTAAAATATTAATCTAAAAAGTAGAAGTACAATTGTACCATGTCACTTCAAGTTGGAATGTTACAATTGTACCATGTCACTTCAAGTTAGCATGTTGAAGGTGGTGGTGTTTATTATGTTTCAGGAATTATTTGCTTTTTACTCAGTTACATTTTATTAGATTTGCATTTTATGTATTTGGGGAATAATTAATAGTCTGTAAATATTATTGGAATATTAATATGAAGTTTTTGAAAGTGTTAATAATATGTTATTATGTACCATCATGTTGGAACTGACGTTTCCGCATGTTTTTTCCAGAGGCAATAAATCAAATGGGAGGAAATTAACCATCTTTCTCCTACAGAGAAACTGATGGATTCAAACCACATGCCTTCGGGTTGGCTCCTTGCTACTAGGCCACCAGAGCTCCCTACTGATACCTTTAAATCAAGGTTCAGTAAACTGTAGTCCTGGGGCCATATTAGTCCACCACCTGTTTTGTAAATACTTTGATTGTCTGTGTATGCTGTTTTTTATACTAGAATCAGAATTGAATAGTTGCAATGAAGACCACATGGCCTCCAGAGCTAAAAATAATGTGGCCTTTTCTACTCTGCGCTAGAATACTTTTAAAACACATTTTCTATGATCCTATTAAGATTTAAACATGAGAGGGTTTGCGGGTTTTAGTTTTGTGTGTGGGTTGTGGGCTTGTTTTTTTTGATTGTTTTAAATACCTGTTTTTTTTCATGCTTATTTCCAGGAGCTGATAGAATGTCTTCATTTGGTGATTTTATTGCATTGTCTGATATTTGTGATGTTCCTACTGCCAAAATTATCTCCAGAGAGGTCAGTGATTTTTTACTTCTTTTTGCCCCATGTGTAAATAATGCTGACGCTCTTGGCTGATAAAGGCAGGGTTGGTGTTTTGAAGGCACTCAGCAGTCCTGCGGGAGAAAAACCGGACCATGTGCTCCCATAAAAATAAGACCCTAGAAAAGCCTATGGGGCAGTTCTACTCTGTCACACAAGAGTAAAAATCCTACAAATAACTATGCAGAACTCCATTTTTATTGATTCTACTTCACGTTACCTTAAAACCATAATCTTACAGCATTTATGTTTGTACTTGTGTCAGATTAAATTTATTATCTTGAATAGTCGTAATTCCACATTGCCATGTAGTTATTTTAATGCCAATTTATTGTTTCCTAAGAGCAGAGATAAACTAGCTTGTGTGATAATGCAGTGAACCTTTCTGTAACTCCGTAAGTCAGTAATGTACAACTGTACAACGGGGGAAAGAATACTCCACCCTGAAACTATAAGTCTTAGCATTGGAACAAAGAAGCGTTTTAAAAAGGCTGTGGTCCAGCAAGGAAGGACAGACAGAAATAAGAAGGTGTAAGGATGAAGGTAGCTCAAAGAACTGGTGGATGAGGCGTGAACAGATATGAAAGGGCGTGTCTGACTCGACAGTATTTATTATAAAAAAGGAAGATAGTGAATGGATATATTTTTTAAAAAGTACACTTGCTAGTATTTTCATCTCTCTTTAGCTTTCAATTGGGGTGGGAAAAAAAATTCATGTTACTCCTGAAAGGAAGACACGGAAGTATAGAAGGAGGAATGGAGATCAGAATTAATAGAGAAGAGAAAATAAATGATGGTTACATTGTGGGTCTTGAGATTGATTTTACTGAATAAAATATAGAGTAATTGTTAGAGGAGAAAAGTAAATAGCTATCTAAACTTTTCCCTAAAAACCGAGACCATTTTGATCTTCAAACAAGGGTTTTTGTGTGGTTGTGTCAGGTTTTTATTTTCCGCACGTGGAGCCACAGTGGAACTGACGTGCTGAATTGTGAAATGCAGATCATCTCATTGTATTGAGTCAGAACTGACTGGAAGCAAACCCTCCAGTTGAGTTTCTTGAAGCTGAAAATGTAGGAGAGGAGTTTGTCCAATTTTCTGCCTTGGAGGCGCTGGTGGATTTGAACTGACAGAGGCATCCCCTTTGGGTTAGCAGCACCCTCTCTCCGGACTGTGCCACCGGAGCTCCAAGTGCACATAGGACTTCATGGGATCCTCTTGTCTTGTTCGTTACTTGGTGCTTTATGCCACTTAACAAGGTCCCAGAGGTAGAACTAGAACAGGCCCGTTCTTATACTAAACACTGTGAAAATAAGTAATCAAGAATTTAAGAATATTGATTTATTGGTTGAAGTTGAACAAGAACATACTTAATACAAACACTATGAAAAGAATACTATTAAACCATTTTCCTTCCTGGAAAATACATAATATTTAAGAATATTCCAATATGTGAATATTCTTAAATATTATATATATTGGTTAAAGTTGAAACAAGCAAAACCTTTCCTGAAGAGAGTTACTGAAATATGATCAGTTATCAATTACACATAATGAAGAAGCCCTGGTCGTTACGTGTTGGAATGCTGACTGAAAAGTCCATGCTGCGAATCCACTCCGGACGGTAGTTTCCTCCCATATGAATTTACAGCCTTAAGAATCTGATGGAGGGTCGCCAAGGGCCTGAATCAACGCAAAGGCAATGGGCTTGGGTGTTTTGGAGGGAGAGCGGGGAGCTGTGTGTGTATGTTTTTGCTTGCCTGCATTGAGAACTGTAATTTTTCAGAATTAGACTTTGGAAATGTAATTATTAGAATTCTTGGTTGGAGATAGAATGATAAAATGTTGCTACATTATTTAAAGACAGGTAATTACTAGGTTTTTCCAAAGATTTTGTATTTTTCTTGAAATAAACTATAACCAATTCTTCACGTCTCTGCAGGTATCTGATGGTATCATTGCTCCAGGATATGAAGAAGCTGCCTTAACAATCCTTTCTAAAAAGAAAAATGGGAACTACTGTGTTCTTCAGGTTAGTGGAATTCATGGTGAGAACCACCATTGGCTCTTATCTGAGCATCTTTTCCAATATTTCAGGCAGTCTCTCCTTCATACTCAGAGCCTTCTAACAAATCACTTTTAAGTGTTGAATGCTTTAAACTTCTTGCTTCTCTTTTCTGTAAGTCTACACATATTCAGTAAATATATGCCTTTTTGCTGCATGAGTGCACCGGTACAACCTTGAACGTCTGTCCCACAAATGCACATCATGTCTAGTCAACCATCAGTCTCCAGCTCTTTGACACACCCCTGCAGTGAGTCATGTGGAGGAAAGCCCTGGCAGTGCCATTACTGCTTCCTAGTGACTGCGCTGATTTGATCGGTGCTGCTCCTGTAAAAGGTTGTACAGCAAATTTCATGTCCCAGCAGGAGGCGTCAGGGAGCCTGTTTCCCAGCATCCTTGTCCTTACTGGTGTCAGTGTTTTCTTCCTTGCCTTTTGATAGGTGAAAATAACAGCATCTCATTAGAGTTTTTCTTTCTCATTACAAGTGTGATTAACCTCTTTTCACATTTATCATTTCCCTTGGGTGAATTGTCTGCCCATACTCTGCATATTTTTCTATTAGAGTGAGGTTTTTCCACAGATACATTGTACGAGAAAGATACTTTTTCTCAGTTTGGTCTCTGCCCTGGGTGTTTCTGGTAGACATAGAAAGCTTAGTGGTGCATTGGGTAAGTGGTCAGCTGCTGAGTAGAAGGGTGTTACTCAACCCCTTCAGTGGCTTCGTGGGAGGGAAGACCTGGTGGGCTGTTGGAGTGAGACTAGGGCCGGGAGACTCTATGCTCTCCCATGATGCGGGCCTGCACTGAGCTGCAGTGGGCTCTCCAGCACAAACAGCATGGTGGTTTTGTGTGTTTACCTAGCAATCTTTTTTGCCCAGGTTTTGTGCCCTTGTCAAGAATCTGCATTTTCTTTTCTTTTTTATTTTGGTGTGCTGCTTTAAGTTTAATTTTGACTTTTAAATTCCTAATAGGAGTCTGTGGTGGATGGATATATGCTTTGAATCTAAATTGTTTTTTCTTAATTGGTGAGCCACAAATTGTCTCAGGTGTCCCACTTTTTATTCAGTGAATGTTGTCTCTTCCTCACTGAATTAAAATGCTGCCTTTATCTGATAATAAATTTCTACATATATTTGTGTCTGTGTTGGGTATTCTATTGAACTCATAGTACCTAAGTATTTGGTATTGCAGTTTTAATATCTGATAAGGATTGTTTCCAATTAGCATCTTTCCAAAAGAAATACTTAAGCAAAAACAGGATGAGGAATGACTTAAGCCTAAAAAATAATTCAAAGAACACTTGACATTTTTATTGTAATTAAAATATGATAACTCTTTTAAATTTGGATCCTGTGTGAAACCTTATCTATAATTAAATGGTTGTGCCTAAATTAAACGATAAAGTAAAAAAGCTGTGAATATATTAATTTTAACTTCCTATATTTTTATCTTAGATGGATCAATCTTACAAACCAGATGAAAATGAAGTACGAACTCTTTTTGGTCTTCGTTTAAGCCAGAAGAGAAATAATGGTGTCGTTGACAGGTCATTGTTTAGCAACATTGTTACCAAGAATAAAGAGGTAAGTTTGCTCCAAATACTAATAACTTTAGTAGCTCTGTTTATAATATTTATACATTAAATACCCTGTTAGGGTTTATAATTAGAATGCTTGATATGCAGATACAAATAGGTTACTATATCTTGGAATTGTCAACTAAGTCAGACTGCTGAAGACTAAAGGACCATCTTACAAGCTTCCACATGTGTGTAAATGTGCAGTGTCTTCTCTTAAACAGAAATTAGATCCTATCCTCTATGATTCTGCTTGGCGATTGGCCTTCTCTCCATGCCTTATCTTGCATATGTGTTTTCTGTATCAGTGTAGATGCTCATTTTTGGACAATGTGTATGTATGTGTGATGGATAGCTCTCTGGTTTCCAGAGTAGATGCATGTCTTTGGACAGTGTGTATGTATGTGTGATGGATAACTCTGGTTTCCAGTATAGATGCACATCTTTGAGTTGTGTGTATATATGTGTGATGGATAGCTCTCTGGTTTCCGGTGTAGATGCACATCTTTGGGTGATGTATATGTATGTGTGATGGATAGCTCTGTGGTTTCCAGTATTAGTCCTATAGTCAAAGTTTATGTGGATGTGTCTTTGCTCTTGTGTCGTTTGTTGCTTTTTAAGAACATACTCCTAGGATTATGATGGTGATGTTTCTCGTGTTCACATATGTTATCTTTGTCATCCTCAGAGTACCCTGTAGAATTTACTGCTACTATCTCCTTTGTAAAAACTGAGAAACTGTCAGAAGAAGACAAGAAATCTGCCAGGATCAAAGAGTATGGGAGTGGATGAGCTTTGTTTTCTGAAATGTCTTCGAAGATCTTGACTCTTTAAGGGTGTTTCTGCTGGACCTAGAATTGCCCATAATTCTTCTTGGTATGTTGAAGGTGTCACCCATGGTTTTGTGCTAGTTGCCTGGAAGTTTTTTGATTGGATGCATGACATTGTTATGTGATAAAGTAGAGGGGGTCTTGGTGGTGACACCTTTTTTCCTCCAGAGTGAACACGCTTCTGAGACCAATAAGGTGGAGGTGTGTCATCTTTATCCTGTCAGGAATTGAGCTCTCTTGAAGTTGACCTCAGTCTTTGTGAGGGTTGGTCTGTTTATTCACTTCTGTTCAACAAAAGCCCCTTCTGGCATTATCCTTCCCTGCTCTACTTTGAACTCTTTTCTATCACTGTAAGACTGTAAAAGATTTCCAAGGCTCTACTCACCTTCTTTGCCTCTTCCTTTATTTCAATCACCTTAGAAAATACCTTCCAATGGAAGAGCATACATTTCCAGGCTCATTTTCTTTTGCCCTATCTCTGGGAATCTTTGCCCCTAAGTATTTTCCATATTAGTTCTAAGTCCAACTTTTCTGTTTGTTCCTGCCACACTGATTCCCAGACCAGCCTTTTAACCATGACAGAGATGGAAAGTGGGAAGCTGTGGATTGTTTCCTGGTTAGTTGTTCCTGGAGTTGCTGGAAATAGGCTTTAAAAATCTTTATTGGGATAGTTCTGTAGGTCTATAAGCAGAAGATGCTTACCACATGCTTGCTTGATTCCTTTTAATTTGATCAGTTAATGGATTGATCTCTTTCACTATTCATGCCTCCTGTGGACTAATGAAACACTTTACCTTTGAGTTAATTCCTCCCTGTGGGGCGGGAAGGACTGTCCTCTCCTGCCAGGTTTCCCAGACTGGCAGCCGTTCAGGAAGCTGATGACTGCCATGTCTTCCTCCATGGAACTGCTGGCTGATTAGGAAGGCTGGCCATTCAGGGAGCAGCTGCCGGGAATCATTGAAGTAAAAAAATAAAAGTGGTACCTCTCTGCTGGTTCAAATCCACTAGTGGCTCCAGAGGAGAAAGATGGAGAGTCTCCTCTGGTATGACTTTCAGCCATGATTCATTTCCAACTCCATGGCAGTGACTTGACTTAACTTGAAAACTGCTGGAGGGTCAGCCGCCAACTGGTTCTGACTCAGTGGCAGTGACTTTGAGAGTTTATGTTTGAAACACATAGATAGCTTTATTAATCTTTATGTTTTCCAAAATGTCTGTGCCATTTTATGTTTTCTCTATCAGTGTGTGAGTCAGCGTGTGATTGATCCAGTTTTCTTGTATCTGTACCATCTTTAACTGTAGTCTGTGATTTTATTTTTTTTTTTAATTCATGTTCTAAGTATTCTGGAAAAGTGTTTGGCAGTATCTTGCTATTTTTTCAATGGCTAATAATGTTGATTGTGTTCATTGGTTTATTTTCCATCTCTATAGGCTCTCTAGAATTCTTCATATGTTTCCCCCATTTTCTAGTTGATGTTCTGATTTTTATTGTTGAGTGTGTTTAGTTTTTTAATATTGTACAGGCCTTTTTCTTCTGATAGGTCATTTTCTCCTTATTGCTAATTGGTCTTTTTGTGCTTATATCACAAGTCTTTCCCAAAGCGAGATGTTTTCATTCATCTGGATAATTAAGCTTTCCAATAGCTAAATTATCAGCTAGCTGTCTCGCTTCTTTTCCAAAAATATTTTCCAGTACAGAGATAAGAAATTCTATCATTTGTATCATCATTGTTTATCGTGCTTCCAGAAATTATTTTCAGCATCTTTTTCTCAACATGGATTTTAGGTTGATTTCAGATATTTAAAGTACTGTGTTAGAGAACATATCTGTCAGTTTTAGAGAGATACAGCTTTTTGTAGTTTTTGTTTAAACAAAAGGTGGTAGCTTAATCTAGTGTTGTCACAAAGTAGCATTGGCTTAAGTCGGCTGTGAATTGGGCTTGTACCATGTTCCACCACATGTTAATATTTGGCTCTTAATTAAAAAACTCTACTCTTCGAATGTACTTTGTGGCTTGGACCTTCACTTTTTTTTTTGTTTGGCAAACTGACAAGTGTAAGTCTATAGGGACCTCTTAGATTAAATGATAAAAGGTACTTAAAGTTAGATGATGTTTTAAAAGCAGGTGTGTTTATCGCCCCCCTCTCTATGTCGCAGTTGCCAGCGGCTGGTCTGCGAGACCTCATCGTGGCCACTGTTGCCGTCAAGTACACTCAGTCCAACTCTGTGTGCTACGCCAAGAACGGTCAGGTAAGCATGCTGTCGGGCTCGGCTCAAGGGGGCTGGGGTTTTACTAAAGGGTACGCAAGAATCTGACGGCCCTGGTGCTGGACAGCGTGAGAGAGAAAGTTGGCCAGCTGTGCCTTCTCTGGGTTTGCCAGCACTTACTCGACAGCTCGGTCAACTATTAAAACTAAAGATGACGGCAAAGTGGCTCTGGAACTCGGTGCTAAAACTAGTGACATTGCCTCCTGCCTAGAAGGAGTTGGCACAGTTTGGAAGAGGAGGGCTCTGTTAGCTGTTTCAGCAAGATGGATTGACAGCGATGGCATAAACCTAATTGCTGCTGTTCGGATGGTGCCCAGCGCGGCAGCACTTTGTTCTGCTGCACCTGGGATGGTGAGGATTTGAACTTGGTGGTGCCACCAGCAACAACAGTAGACATTATTATTCCCATTGGTGGTGGGGAGAAGAGTAAGGACTGGGACTACCTTAAAGCCAGTTTTATTGAGATGTAGTTTGTACAGAGTAGGATGGGCCCTTAATTGCACAGTTTGAAGATGTTTGACAGACAGAGTCCACAGTTCTGTGACCACTGAGCCGTCGAGATGAGAACTTTTTGGCTTATAATGTTCACTTCCTTCTTCAAGTACTGAGGTGTAACGTGTGGCATTGAGCTAGTTCATAGTTAAGCGCTCCCTAACTGTAGGACTTAGCAAATGGTCCTGCTGTATCTTTCCATGTGTCTGCAGAGTTCCGCTTACTCTATGAGCATCTCCTTTAAATAATTTGGCCCAGCAGTAAAGGAGAATGGAGTTCTGGTGGGTTAGCAGAAAGGAGTTACACAAAGTTCAAAACCACCCATAGCTCTGTGAGGGAGGGGTGGGCAGTCTCCTTTCTTGCCGTTTACTGGCTCTTAAAATCCCCTGGAAGGTCAACTAGATGTCTGTTCTGACCCATACATAGGGGAGAAGAGTGATTCGTTTGTGACCTGGAAAACCCTTTAAAATTGAGCAAAAGCCAACTGATAGATGCCTTCTCTGTAGTTACAAGATCCTGGGAGGTCATGACTCATGATTCCAGCAGATTCTGGGAGGCCATACATAGTGAATGCATCATTCTTGTCAGTGCAGAAGTGGCTAGCTACACATGTGTGTACTCAATACAGAAACTGAGGAAATGCATGTGTATTGATGTTGTTGTAGACTCCAGCCTACTGAGATAGTAGGGAGGAAGAAAGATAAATTTTTGTCTGGTAGCATTTTTACTTAGAATTACCAATCTGGTCAGATTTTTGTGAGTGTTTAACTATAAGCTATTGACTGACTGAAACCTTTTAGATGTCCTCTGTGGTCATGTATGGGGTTTTTTAGAGAACTATGGGTTCTGCAACTGTGAGTAGAGAGCCCTAAGACCAGCAGTCTTACAACTGTGTATTCTAGAAATTTACAGAATATTTTAATAGGCATACTTCACATATCACTGAGGAAGTAAAATGTAGTCAGAGTCTATCCTTGCCTTTTGTTGACTTGGAAATTATCTGTATTTTTCTTATTTGGCCTTGTTATTTTCTTCCACAAAATTAGATTTTGGAGACTGTGTAAAAGTTCCATTGAGAAGAGTGTTGTTAGAAACGCTGTATGTTCTCTTCAGGTCATTGGGGTCGGAGCAGGACAGCAGTCTCGGATACATTGTACACGCCTTGCAGGGGATAAGGCCAACGCTTGGTGGCTTAGACATCATCCACGAGTGCTTTCAATGAAGTTTAAAACCGGTGTGAAGAGGGCTGAAATCTCGAACGCCATCGATCAGTATGTTACAGGAACCATCGGCGAGGTATGAGACTCGTCAGTCAAGTTATATAGGTGGCAATTATATTATAGTCATTGTTATATCCCATTGTGTTGACTATGACTCATAGTGTCTTTATGCACAATAACTCTCAGCCCTACTCTGTCCTTAGCCAATCTTCCTGTCATTGACATACCTACTTTCATTACCTCAGTTATTATTTTAATTCTCATTGACATACCTACTTTCATTACCTCAGTTATTATTTTAATTCATCTCATCTGGGAGTCTTCCTTGCCTGTGCTGTTGCTCGACCCATCCAAGCATGATATTTTTCTCCAAAGACTGGTCCCTCCTGGCTATATGCCCCAAATCTCAAAATCCTTGCCTCCAAGAAGCATCTTCTGATTTCACCCTCTCTAGGACAGACATATTTGTTTTCTTAGTGGTCCGTAATATGTTAAGTACTCCAGTATCACACTCAAAGGCATCAGTTCTTCTTCTATCACGCTTGGTCAATATCCAGCTCTCTGGTGCATAACAAGAAATTGAAAAGACCATGATCTGGTTCCCACTCACCTTAGTCTCCAAACTGGCTTCCTTGCTCTTCAACACTTTGGAGAGGTCCCTGACAGCAGATTTTCCTAATGCAGTTGGTCTTTTGATATATTGACTTTGTAGAAGTTCACCCTGTCATACATGTGACACTTCATCACTGCAGGGAAAAGAAAGGGCATTAATCTGATACCTTTACCACTCTCTCATTTTCTTATTTCATGCACATTTCCTCAGCTTTATTTCTCTGTGAGATAAAAACATATTCCTCTGTCTTTTTAAATTAAAACAATTGACTTGCTTTTGTTGTTTGTCCATTCTTGAATACAAGCTTTGAATGGTAGGGCCTGGCACTAAGCCCTCTTCTCATAGTACTAAGCAGGATGCTTGCCACATGATAGGCGTGTAATGAAACATTCCTTTTAAATTACCTGAAAGACAGTAACGCTGGTGAGTTTCTTCTACCATATTTTCCTACAAGTGCCATCAACAGCAAGCTCATTTCTATCACATGTGGTGCTCTTCCACAGTTTTCGTCTCAGGGTTGGTATAGAGGAGTGTTAAAATTGCCAGTATAAAAAATCTGCTAGTTAATATTGCTAGTCTGCCCAGAGAAAAGCATGCTGCTCCATGGCTGGACATAGCAGCAGCTATGAACAGAAAATAAATCCTGGACAGAAAACAAATGCCAATGATCTGGTAACATCTAGATGATGCTACTGAGTCTGTTCAGAAATGGGAATCTCAGGTAACTGTCACTGAAAAGTACCCAGACATTTTTTCTTTTGAATTCTGGAATTTTTCTGTTACTCAGGAAAACTTCTATTAATAGTTTTAAAAGAGAAAAAAAAATACCCAGCATAACATATTTTAAAAGTATCAGTTTCTTTATAGGACAAACTACATTCTTAAGGCTAATTAGAAGTGCAACGTTCCTAAATTTTTTTTTTTATTTCCTGCAAAGAAAGATTCTTTTGAAAACCTTTGACAATGCAGTTTCCCTGTCACTTGCTTTGTTCTCTCTGGAATATAATGTAGTACATTGAACTTGGACAGGAACAAAATATATTTGGAGTAAACTGATCATTATTTGGTAAACTTCACATACTTTTTCTTAATAAAGTGTCACAAGCATCAAAGAAGGAAATTTCAGAAATAGAAACGGATACAAAAAGAGAAGTTGTTATTTATAATTAAGAAATCCTGGTTAATATGCCCACATGCTTTCAGGCCTGCTGCTTTATTTCTTACATGACTGTCAGTGGTGTCAGACTAACCTTTTTTCCAACTCACATAGGGTGAAGATTTGGTTCAGTGGAAGGCACTATTTGAGGAAGCCCCTGAATTATTAACTGAGGAGGAGAAGAAGGAATGGATTGGCAAACTCAGTGAAGTTTCCATAAGTTCTGATGCCTTCTTTCCTTTCAGGGATAATGTGGACAGAGCTAAAAGGGTAAGTTTGCAGTTGCTGGGCAGAACTAATATTTATATAGAAACCATATAAAGATGCTATGTTTTAGAAATGGTGCTTCTGACTTTTACGTTAAGAGGACACAGATAAGTTGAAGAATCATTGTGACCTCTCCATTTAATGTATATTTTGGCTTTTTTGGTCAAGTCAGTGAGTCTGCATTGTGAATTGTTATTCGTGTTAACTGTTGCTCTAAGAGAGACGACTTGCTTTTTGCGTATTGGTAAATTGTACTGTGCTTTGCAAACCCGTGTGCTTTTCTCCCCCAGAGTGGTGTGGCTTACATTGCTGCTCCCTCCGGTTCTGCGGCTGACCAGGTTGTGATTGAGGCGTGCGACGAACTGGGCATCATCCTTGCTCACACCAGCCTCCGACTCTTCCACCACTGAGGCATCGCAAGTGACTGTTTTTTTGGTTTGCATACAATATAGATGTACAATCATCTTAAAGATTTCATTTGAAAAAAATAATAAAATGTTGAATCTTAATATACTTTTTTGGTATTTCTATTTAATTTGTCTGAAAGGAATAGACTAAACTGATAAGCATCACACATATAAATTCTTTAATTTTTTTCTTTTATTTTTATTGAGATCTTAACAAAAGTTTATAGAGAACTTGGATTTCCATTCATTCATTGCTGCACATTTTTCTCCCTACTTTCCCCACCCCTAGTTTGCTTTTCTCTTTTGAAAAAGAATTACTGTTGTACAATTTCCTCCCATACCCCAGTCCACTTTCACTATGCAGCTCTTATTCTGGACTGTTATCATGCAGATAATATGATCATATATTCCTTTTATACAGTTACCCTCCTTGTCTGTTTCAATGCCCATGTATGTTATTTATCCCCTCTTTCTTTAGTTTCCCCCCAACCCCCGTGTCAGTCCTATTTAAAACAGTGGCATTATGTACTATTTGTCCTTTGTGACAGATAATTCACTCAGCATATTGTCATCCAGGGTCACCCATTTTGTATAATATTTTTAGTTCCTTCTTTTTCAGTGCTGTAGAGTATTCCATTATGTGAATATACCACCGCTTCTCTATCCATTTATTTGTTGATGGGCACTTGGGTTGTTTTCATCTCTTTGCTATTGTAAACAATGCAGTAATAAACGTGGGTGTGCATATATCTGCTTGGGTGGCAGTTTTGATTTCTTTAGGGTGTATTCCTAGTAGTGGAGTTGCTGGGTCAAATGATATTTCTGTTTGCAACTTTTTGAGAAAGCACCATATTGCCTTCCATAGTGGTTGCACCATTTTACACTCCCACCAACGGTGAATAAGGGTTTCAGTTTCTCCACAGCCTCACCTGTGTGTGTTTGCTGCTCTGTTGAATTTTGCTAATATTGGGGTGAGATAATATCTCATAGTTGTTTTGCACACACAAATTCTTGAGTACGGTGAGCTCATCTCAAAACATTGTGTAAATACATTGTTGGTTGGATTATAAAATGGTACAACCATTCTGGAAGTCAGTTTGGCACTTCCTCAAAAAGCTGAACATAGAAATTCCGTATGACTCAGCTATTCTACTACTTGGAATATTCCTTGAGAAAACAAGAACTGAGGCACAAACTGAGATTTGTACACCAGTGCTCATAGCAGCATTATTCACCATCACAAGAACATGGAAAACAGCCAAAATGTCCAACCATGAATGAATGGATTGAGAAATTATGGTATATAACACACAACGGAATATTATGCCGCATGTAGGAGCAGTGATTTTGTAAATTATGGTCCAACTTGGGAGGGCCTGGGGAGCATTATGCTAAGTGAACTAACTCAGTCCCACAAGGGCAAATATATTGTATAAGTACTGAACAAGTATAAGGATCTAAGGGGGTGGGAGAGTCTGGAAGCAGAGGGATGAGGATGTACACGGGGAGGGGGATTAATCATGGGATTGTGCAATTTGATGAGTGAGAGAATTAGAAAGAATTTGTTCTTGAAAACAGTGTATTCAAATTTTGTAAATAAACTAGTAGAAGGGGAAAAAAAAGCTTTTTTCAATATTCAAAAACCAAGGAATATAGGAAGCTCTGGTGGCCCAGTGGCAAGAAGCTGCACTGCAATGCCAGAGACACATGGTTCAAATCCACCAGATGCTCTGCTGGGGAAGGAAGGGCAATCTCCTCCTTTACCAGTCGGATCTGATTTGACGGTACACACACACACACAAAATAATAAAAATTTAAAAAGAAACAAAAACCAAGGAATAGGCAGGTAGTCATGCAAGAATCTTGAAATGGGTGGCTCACACTATCCTAAAGCCATTTAATTTTTTAAGTTTTCCTCCATCTTTTTTGTCACAGTTCTAAGAAGCTTGGTTATCCGTTTTCTAAATCAGACAGCATGTTTATAACTTGGGAGCTAGAACTGTGTGGATATCGATTGGTCTCCTCCTGACCCCTGATGAAGATAAGACTAAAATCTTGTTCTCCCTCTGTGTTACATGAAGTATTTTGCAAATCACAGTCTTTCAGTTGTTTTCCTTTTTAAAGAAATCTTTTTTTACTGACTATGAAATATTAGTTTCTAATTTCTTTGGTACTTTGAAAGCATTTTTATATATTTTGCTGTGCTTAACAATGATGACGCACGGATTCTTGTTCATTGGTTGGAAATGATTTTCTAACACTTCTCTCTAATGTCTCCAGGAATGGAAGTCTTCCTTAGTAATACTCTCTGGATCCTTTCAATATGGAATCCTTTTTTCCCCTTTAAGTAAAGGCAGTTTGTTATTTCTGCCTGTTTCCCATCTCTCTCTGTCTTTTGAATTTTTTTTTTTATATATGTAGATGTTAACTTGCTAATGCTGTTTCTATTTCATTTTCTTTTGTACCGCTGGGAAATTTCTTTAGTTTGATCTTCCAGTTCACTAGTTATTCTTTATATTGTATTCATGTATTTGGCTGTTTGTCCCATCTGTTGAATTATTTTCACACTTTGTTTCACATCTAATTTACCTTTTGGAGTAGCTCTGTCAGTTTAACTGTTTCTACTTGCACTGGCATCAAATGCGATAATGGTTACCCATGGTGGACAGTGTTTAATGGAGCTCCCAATTAAAACACGCTTGGAAGCAGAAATGGCATCCACTTCCAAAAGAGCTTGCCTCCAGAAACTGTGAACTTGGAGAAACGATGAAAGTTACACAATGGTTAAGATCTTTCGTTCATAGGGTCGCTATGAGTCATCTTCGACTCAGTGGCACTTAACAACAACAACATTGAAATCTTTATCCAAAATGATATTTCTTTTGAATCATTGTCTTCAAATTTTGGCCTGTTGACTTATGAGCTCATTTTTCTCTGCCAATATTGACTGCTCTGTGAGGCAGTGTGTGTCACTGGAAAAATAAATGTAATCCTTCTTAGCCCAAGAAGTTCAGAGAGGGGAAGTTTAAATGAAGAGAACACCAAGCAACAAAACAAATCTACCTGTTGTCATTCAGAGTCAGTCGTTGAGGGCACCCAGAGAACATTCCTTTCTCGAGGTTCCTCTCTCTGCCCGGCCATGCACAGCTCTTGCCTTGTCCAGAGCCCCTGCCCTATCAACACCCTTTCCAAGAATGAGCCCACCTCATCCCTGGGCTTCCTCATGCTTTGTGCTGTCTTACTGCTTCTCTTTATGAGCACTTGGTCAGCAAGCAAGGTTATGTATCATCTGCATAATAAAGATTATTGATGAGTTTTCCTCCAATCCTGATGCCACATTCTTCCTAGAGTCAAGCTTCTTAAATAATTTGCTGAGGGTACAGATGAAATAGGTATGGAGAAAGAATACAGCCCTGATGTATGCCTTTCTTAATTTTAAACCATGTAGCATTCCCTTACTCTGTTTTCACAACAGCCTCTTGGTATAAGTTTCCCAGGAGCATAATTAAGTGTTCCGGGATTCCCATTCTTCCCAGTGTTAGCCATAATTTGTTATGGCCCACACAAATTCCTTTGTATAGTCAATAGTGCACAAATAGACATTCTTCTGGTATTCTCTGCTTTCAGCTAGTGTCTGTCTGACAGCGGTTATATCCCTGGTGCCGTGACCTCCTCTTCTGAATCCAGTTTGACCTGACATTTCCTCTCTATGTACTGTTCTAAACATCTTTGAATGATCTTCAGCAGTATTTTGCTTGCATGTGATACTAATGATACTGTTTAATAATTTTCACATTCTGTTGGTTCACCTTTCTTGGGAATGGGAACAAATATTAGGGATCTTTCTCAGTTGGTTGGCCAACCAGTCCTCCAGACTTCCTAACATAGACTAATGAGCACATAAGGACTACACCTGTCATTTGAAACATGTCCATTTCAAATGGTATCCCTACAATTCCCAGGCCCTTCTCCTGCCCACCCCATTCCTCCAGTGCATTTCCTGCAGCTTGAACTTCCTTCCTTGCCATTGGCTCTTGATTATATGGTGGTTGGTTGTTGTTATGTGCCACTGAGTCATTTGTGACTCATAGCAACCCTATGTACAAGAGCTCTAAACACTGTTCTATCCTGTGCCAACCTCGCCGTCTCAAACACACTCATTCCCACTGCTCCACTCACAGAATCAATCCATCTCATCGAGGGTCTTCCTCTCCTGCACTGTCCCTTCACTCTCCCAAACATGATGTCCTTCTCCAAGGACCAGTCTGTCCTTGCAACATGCCCAAAGGATGTCAGACAAAGCTTCAGAATCCTTGGCTCCAAGGAGAATTCTGGCTTCACCCTCTCTAGGACAAACCTGTTTGTTCTCCTAGCAGTCCATGGTATATTCAACACTCTTCTCCAGCACCACAGCCCAAAGGCATCAATTCTCTCTATCATCCCTATTCACTGTCCAACTCTCCAATGCATAGCACGTAATTGCAAAGACTATAGCCTGGATCAGGCGCACGTTAGTCTCTAGCCTGATGTCGTTGCTCTTCAGTACTCTTGAGAGGTCCCCTCACAGCTGACTTTCCCAATATACAATTTATCTCCTGATTTCCTGGCTGCTGTTACCAAGAGTGTTGACTGTGGAACCAAGTAAACTAAAGCTGTTAACTATCTCAATCTCTTCACCACCCATAGTGATGCTACCATTTTGCCCAGTGGTGAGAATCTTTGTTTTCTTGATGTTGAGCTTCAATCCATATTGAAGACTGCAGTCCTTGACCGTCTGCAGCAAGCACTTCAGGTCCTCCTCAGTTTCAACAAACAGGGTTGTATATGGTAGTTTTAAAATAAACAGTTACTCTGTATTTCCTCTGTCGTTTTTTGATGCTCCTGGGTTGTTCATGATTTTGCCCATAGCACTTCTCAGTATTGTAACTTGAAGCTTGTATTTGTTGTTTGGTTCTTCCAGCGTGAGAAATGCATGTGAATCCCCTTTTTAGTCTCCAATTCTAAATGTCCACTTTCAGTAATAATCATTTGCTTTGTCTTCCCTAGCAGTCCTTTGAGCCCTTCTGTTCAGCCCTTTTACTTCAGTGGGA